TCATAGGTGACACTACCAGACAATAAAGGTCGCCCATCTATGACCTCAATGTGAACAGGTTTGGATTTTTGTACTAAAGGGATCTTATGATACTTCACAAATTCTTTGTCTAAGAAAGAAGCAGATGCTCCTGAATTTAATAATGCTAAGGTTCTTAGTTTTTGAGGGCCAATAAGCAAAGGGATTGTAAAGCAAAGGATAGGTTGAGCGGAAAGATAGGAACCTGGTTGTTGTTGCGATATTTCAGTGTCCAGCCGCATGGTTCCTATTGTAACTGGGCATCCTCGTTTTCCTGAATAAATGCACACCTAGTCTTGATAATACGTTGATTTTACTTCTTGAGGCAGTTTCCAACTTTGTGGCCTTCTTCACCGCAATACAAGCATAGACCTTCCTTCATACGCCGCTTTTTTTCTTCTAGAGTAAGAGATTTGACACGTACCGCATCAATTTGCATGTCTTCTACCTCTGAATGTGAATTCACGCTGCTTGCCGACATAGTTGGGGTGTGGCAAACCGTATGTTGTCTTGAACGTTGGTCTTGGCGACGTTGGAATAGGCGGTTATCGCACTTCACAACTTGGCTAATAGCTTCGTTGAGCGTTTACGGATCAGGAAGAGTTAATAGCAAATCCTTCACATCGTCCCTTAAACCCCAATAGAATTGACTCATCAACGCTTCTTCATCCCAATTGATGTCGCATGCTAATGGCCTGAAGTCCGATCCATAGACTGATGTAAAACACATCCCTTGTCGTAGTGACCGGATCTTTGTTGTAGTCCATCGAACCTTGTCGTGTTCACCAAATGCTTCCGCAAATGCCTCCAAAAAGGTTTCAAAGTTGTTTAGTATGGACGATCATTTCTCAAACAAAGAAGCAAACCATGATAGAGCTTGCCCTGTAAGTAAGGTTCCAACAAGCCCAACACGTGACTCCTCCGTTGGATAGCGTTCACATTATAAAACTGTTAACAACCTGATTTGATTGACGAATCCTCGAAACTTGGAACGCGTACCATCGAACTTGTCCGGAAGGCTAACTCGGAGCTCCTTATGTTGTAGAACCAGTGGTGCTTGTCGAACCTGAGGCAAAGTTTCTTCTCCAAGTGTAGAAGTTTGAGGCTGATGCAACCTAGATTGTGCCATCCCAGATGCTCCATCATTATGAAGCCTTGCCACGACTCCTTCAATCTCTGTAGTTCTTTGCGATAATATAGCGAGGGTATTCATGATAGCATCCAACTTGGACTCCGAACTTTCCGTCATACTAATGTCTTGGCCCTCAACCATTTTAAGAGAAGGACAGAAATGACTCTACAAGAAGACAATATTGGTTTAGAGGAGGGTACTTCGCAACCTCTAAAATGCCTTAAGAGCTTCAAGAAAAGGGGTAATCCACTCTCTCCAAGAAGAATAAGATTCCAATATTGTAACAAAAGAAGTATCAGTTTAGAGGAGGGTAATCCGCAACCTCTAAAGTGCTAGTACACTTCCAAGTAGAGGGGTAATCCACACTCTAACAATGAAGAAACTAGCTCTGATATCTGAGGTGAGTGTAGTCTCGACAAACTGTCACGGACACAGAATACAGACTTGATATCTACCAAGAAGTTCAAGTAGAACTGGCAAGAACTAGATTAATCAGATGAATACAAGAACAATACCAGAGAGGTGAGCTAGAGCTCCAAGAGATGTGTTGTTGAGACTGAAGAACTCTTCAGCCTCCATCCCAATATATACTTCTATTTAGGAAGCTTCTCAAGCAACTTCTACCAACTAAGAAGCTTCTAGAAGGTTCCAGAGACTTGCTTCTAGAAAGTTCTAGAAACTTGTCTCTAGAAGGTTCTAAGGACTATGTCCCTAACACAAATATAAATCCTTCTAGTAAGGTTCCATTGCCTACAAAGATAATATTTTTATTTGATGATGCAACTAAACCTATTCAAGAATGTCAAAATTTGTGCTCAAGAGTTGTAAAATTATTTAACATCAACAACAACAACAACAACAACATGTTTGTTATTAGCTGTAGTAGTTGTAATATCACTTGAGCTATACCTTTGTACATTATGCTAGATTTGGAGCTAAGCTAGTTATAATTGATAATTGGCTTGCTTAAGAACTAGGACTAATTCTTACAAACTTAGAACCTTGTCTTTTTATCATTATTACTTTAGTAAAAGACTTAGAGCGAGCTATCAGCTATAATAAGCAATCTTTGAAATTAATATTTTACATTAGATTTGGCCCTCTTTATTCACTTGTATTTAAACTATGCATTGATTAATTCCATCAACTATGATATTTTAGTGGATCAACAAGCCCTTTATCTATTTGATTTTGGCCTAAATAATTGGATTGAAGAAGCATGGATTTGATGAAGATGGTCTATTGGTGATGGAAGGAAAGAACTCATTCTAGTCATATTAGCAGCAATTATTATGAATATGTTAGAAAAAACCTCATTTGATTTTAGTGCATTAGTATCTAATTTGCTTTATGGAATAGTTCTATTAGAAGAGACCTTAGCATTCATGTCTCATTCTATGAGACCTTTTAATCCACCATCTTCAAAAGTTCATGTAAAACACTAGAAGAATCCATCTCTTCCTTGGAAAACACATGCAAAACTTTTCGGCCAATATGAAGAGATTGTATCTTCATTGAATATATTAAAGATATCAAAATCTTATTATTCAAATTTTAATAAAACTTTAGGATTTTTCTTATTTTTACACTTACATTCTTGGATTCGTCCTTTGTGGTATGAAAGATAACTTAACTTAGTTTGGTATAGATTTCTAATCTTTCTTGGAAAGTGTATTAGGTGTGCATTTGTATTTGGTCTAAATTACATACTTTATAATTGATTTGTAGTACTTCATGTGTTATGTATAATGATCTTTATTTACACAACACATTGAAAAAATTCTTGCATTAAATTTGGCATTGCTATAAAGGCTATACTTCTTTTAATATTGCTCTTCATGATGACCTATATTTTAAAATTATATTAAAAAAATGATTGACAATTAAGGATTTTTGTAGTTTCTTTTTATTATTGAAAGATCCCACAATATTGATTTTTGACTTGAAATCTCTTTTATTAGATACAATTATTTTATTTTTTGTCTTATTAGCACACATATCAAAAACAACATTCGCTACAACTGATGAGTTTTAGTCAATATATATAATGAGATTTGCTATAATTTTTTAATATAAACATATTGAATATAAAGAATTTTTTGCCATTGCAAAGTTCACATAGTTTTTGCTCTTGATTCAAGTGTTAAGCCATTTTGGTAAGAATTTGGTATTGAGCCAAATACCAATAAGCATCTAATTTCAATTAAGTTTATTAGAGTATATGAGACTACTTATCAAGCCAATCAAGCATTGTCTCAAACTAATATTGATGTGAATCTCAAAAAACAAGACAACTTCCTCCAATCCTTCTTTAATGATAATCTATCTCCAAACAACAATCAATCTAATGTTGGCACATTTGATGAGTCTTTTTTTATCAAATTAAAATAATAAATTTTACACACATTAATGTAATTACAATAAAATAGTTGTGATGTTTATTTATGATTTAAGGTGAATATGTCAATGTATATAAGAATCCAACTAATGGCTCATGATTTTTTAAGATAATATAGCTACATCAATACCTAGTGAGTGTGTATTTTTACAAGCAAGATTGGTCATAAGATTATCAAGCTTGACTTTGTAATAATGCAATTTAAGCCTTTTGTAAGCTCAAATATTTTTATAAATTTATTACAAAATTTAACTAGCATTTATTGATATTAAATTATAATATATATATATATATATATATATATATATATAATTACATTCAATCAAGTCTATGTCTTAAGTTCACTTATATTAAATCATAATCCTCTATTTTTCTATACTATATTATTATAATAAACTAAGATACTTTCAAAAAAAAATCTATGTATTTTATATAACTTTATTACTATTGGATTATGAGTCTATAAATGAGGATGAGAACATAGAGTTGTCACTTCCACTACACCAACAGTTATCTTTTTAAACCAAGCTTCATGTCTTCTTAAGCTACACAACAATGAGCTTTTGTCATGAAGAATTTAGTACATTGAAGCCAAATAATTGTTGCTAGAATTGAAGAAGATACTAGCTTCTAAGAGACCTATGTCATTGAACTAGACCTAATCAAAGTAAGAAGAAAAACTCAGTTTATTCAATACTCTCTATTTGTCTTTTCATTGTTTTTAAGAACATAGCTTCTACATATAACTTTATCCATCATAGCCAATAGTTGGCAATTCTAAAATGTGGCATACTTGCAAGTTAGTTTATACTTATAGTAATTATCACAAAACTAAAATAATTTGTGTTATAATATTCAAGATAAGAGATTGAATAATATGCAATTATGTATTTGCACAATTTTGCATTATATATGATGGTAGATACTTATTTGAGCAATTTAAGAAATAGCCAAAGAAAAGAATTCTCTATTAATTTAGAAACTAACATATTAAAAAGTAACAAATTGGTTTCTCAAATAAATTTCCTTATCAAAGAAACAACAATCAAATAATAAATGTTGTTGAAGGTGCTAAATCTTTGTTTCTTACCATAGTTCAATGATTATACAATCTTTAGTTATTTGTGACAATTTCTCTACTTACACAACTCAATTCAACACCATATTAATAGCATCAAACTGATTTTAAACATCAACAAATTATCATATAAAATCATCAAATAAGATTTAATAGAAGCAAAGAATGTGAAATTTTATCATATTCTAACTCCCACTTGAAATGCAACCTCACGTTTCTCAAGATATAGGGCTAGGAAAAAAAAAAAATTATTAATGAATCCAGTATAAGTTTATATGTTACTCGTCCAACTTGATGATAAAAGGAATTAATGAAGAAAGTTGAGGTCCGAAAAATTGTGCTTATCAATGAATTTTTCACGGAAACAGCAAGCATACGACCAATTACACTGGTCATCTTAACTTTAAATATATCAACAGTCCACATAATGGAATAAAAATGATAGTGGGATAAAAATAGTTGTTGTCACAACTTCGTGTTGTCTAAAATAGAACTCCCCTATCACTTGAAAGAAGTGCTATTGCACTCCTTGAACAAGAACTTCCTAGCCTCTAGAACCAACCTTAGGTTACAAAACCTGACTGCAAGCTGGATTTATGAACACAAGCCTGGGGGGTCTTGTCAAGTGGTTCCTTAAGGCAACCCTAAATGTGGTTTAGAATCACCATCCACTGGGTGGTTTGAAAGTGTGCATGCAGTTGAAAAACCTTAAAGCTCTAAAGTTGCTGTCTTCATCTTTCAGCTTGGGAAGAGGTCGAGCTAATGGATTAGTAGTGACTATAGGACAGTGCGAGAAACATCCCTTGTCAAGATTTATGCACTTAACTATATACCAGAAAAGTTCTAAAAATCCAGCCACAATCAGCGTCCAGATTTGCTATAATCAATTGTCTACCAGTGTTATTGGCTCAATATAACTCAGTAGAATTGAATCTTGCAAATGCCTCTTTTAGAAGATCAAAAACTTTCTCCGCAATATACTTCTGTTGCACATTAGCACCCTTCTGCTGCACCTTGTCAGGATGGACGCAAAGAATTGCTCTCTGATAGGACTTTTTCACCGAAATACCTGTAATTAAGTCTGTCAAAGACACAGGTTTCCAGTTGGTCTCTGGCCATAGTATCAAATGCAAGGACGAGAGAAGTGCTCGCAAATTGCCTTCTTTGCCAGTTGCCCAGCGCCGTATTTCAGCGTCCAAATTTCCTGCAGCCATACTTCTTTCAGCCTGTTCTTTAAGCTGAGCCTGATCACGATCGTTCTTTTCCTTCAAAGCCTGCTGCGCACGCTCATGTGTTTTCTGATGCCTCTCAAGCCTCAGTTTCCTCCTCTCGGCAGTCTCCCCTGGTATTTCCTGAAACTGATCACCGGCCGGTGCAGTCTGTGTCAATAACGTTGTCCAATCATCCACAATCTTCACTGGTGGTTGGGGTTTCCTGGTGGTTGGATGGGGCGCTGGAGAGCTCCCTGTAGAGGAATAGACAGGATTTGTAGGCGAGGGCCGTCGAGCGTCGCCACCAAAAGAAGCAGAGGGTTGATTAGTAGGTGGTCGTTGTCGAGGTTCACTTGTTGCCCGACTACTTGCACCAGCAGGCCAGGTTGGTTCAGCCCCACCTCTTTCTCTATCCCTCCTCCGGTCTCGCTCCCTTTCTTTCTCTCTCTCCTCCTTCTCACGCCTTTCTTTCTCCCTCTCTCTTTCTTCTTTTGCCCTTTCTCTCCTCGCCCTCTCATCCCGTTCCCTCTTCTCTCTCTCATCCCGTTCCCTTTTTTCTCGCTCTTCCCTCTCCTTCTGTTCCTTCTCCCGTTGCTCCTTCTCCCGAGCTGCTGCAGCTCTCTGCAACGCAGCCCTCTCTGCTCGCTCACGAGCTTCGGCAATCGCCCTCTCGGCAGCAGCTTTTTCTGCTGCCCTTCTAGCCTTTTCTGCATTCTCATCAGTCTGTCGAGCTGTTGATGCCCTCTCTGCTCGCTCACGCGCTTCAGCAATCGCCCTCTCCGCAGCAGCTTTCTCCATCCTATATTGAGCTTCGCGAGCAGCTTTTTCTGCAGCTTTCTTGGCCCTGTCCAAAGCTTCACTATTCTCTTGTTCTCTCAGACGTTCAATTTCTCTCTCGCTTTCTCTCCGTTTCTCCTGCTCTCTCTGACGTTCAATCTCTCTTTCTCTTTCTCTCTGTTTCTCCTGCTCTCTCTGACGTGCAATCTCTCTTTCTCTTTCTCTCTCTCTCTGCTTCTCCCGTTCTCTTTGTCTCTCACGCTCTTTCTGCCTCAGAGCTCTTTCCCTCTCTGCAGCTTCTCGTTCCTTTTGCACCAAGGCCGCTTCTCTTTCTCTGGAAGCAGCTCGTTCTCTCTCCAATTCAGATTCGTTGGAAACATCTGATCCAGTTGATCTGTTCCCATATACTGGCAGTTCATTAGATCTTCCCCTATTTTCATCCACACTGTCCCTGTAATTTGCATAACTCCTTGAGCTCGTCTTCCTGTCCAAACCAGGTCTTGGAGGAGCACGTGAAGGAGGCGGTGCTATGGTAGGCGATGTTACAAGTTTCATATCGTCGACGGAGAGCCAATTCTCTTCAAAAACGTCCACAGGCACTTTGTCAACATTGTACTTGTTGTTGCTTTCACCTGCTGCCATAAAGGGTTCATCATACTTAAACCCATTACCAAACCTTGAAGTAAAGCCATTTAAATCCGATTTCGTCCCGACTTCGTTCCTCCCTGACATGAAAGAGGGAGATGCAACTTCAGGAGTTTCGCTTATGTCCACGTTAAATGGAACACTGCCGAAGCCCCGCCTTGAGGGCCTATCATCCAAAGTCCCCGGGCCTGGAGAACCTTCTCGGCCATTTGAACCAGATCTAGAGAGATTCGGGGTTGAATCCTCTTCTACCTGAGACGTAGCTACAGGTGGTGGATTAGAGAATCCATCGAGAGGATCATACGATCCACTTCCATTGTTATCCTGGTTCTTTGATCCCTCTGTAGCATTACTACTGAAGGACCCGGAAGCAGGGGGCATATTGAAGGGTTCTAATGGATCCGTGTAAGAAGCAGAAGGAGGAATTGAATCTGAAATTATACTAGCAAAAGGATCTACCTTTGCAGCAGAAACGAACGGATCATCATCAAATATTGGGGAGGAACTCATGAGCGGAATTCCACGCATTTCATCTGCATCTAAGGGAACGATAGCGGGAGTTCCTTGAGAAGCATCAGTGGTGGACTTGGTAGCAGGTATATCTCTGAAAGGATCTGGTGTTGCAGCTGATGTAGAGCTAGGGACGTTACTAAATACATCATCATCATCATCTGTGGTTATGATTGGAATACCCCGCATCGCATCTGCCTCAGCAACAGATTCCTTTTTCCTTCGGTCCCCACCGCCAAACCCTGGTAGAATGTCATCATACACAGGTTCAGAATGCTTGGCTCGAGGAGGGCTAGATGGTGGAGATCGAGATGGCGTCGCCTGCTTTGAACGACCTGCGGATGTTGAAAATCCTCCCAAAAGATCACCATCAATAGAAGAGTGCAATGTTCCTCCTCTTGATGCAGACTTAGATGCACTAAAGTTCCATTCATTACTAAACATTGTTTGAGACTGGGCTAACTTTGGCTTGGGCACGTCGAACGCACTGAATGGATCGTCTATATTGTGGCTCGCGGAACTAGTATGTGAGGAAGTTCTAGTATGACCAAAATCTTCAGAGAAAATGCCATCCAAAGACCTGGCTGAGGTATAAGCCTTCGGTTGTGGTGGCTTGACCGCACTAAATCCCCCCAATAAATCATCGGCAAAGGGGTCCTGAATAGACTGTGACCTTGATCCTGAGGAGTTGAATCCGTCTAAGAGATCTCCAAATGTATCATTGGACGCCCTGGATGCCATTGGGGGTCCTCCAAGAAGGTCATCGTAAATAGATCTGGAACTGCTGCTTCTGATCAGTGCCATATTACATTTCACATTTAGAAGTGTGCTCCTGGTTAAATGTACGAAGCTCAACATTGCAGATGACTTATGAAACTTGTTCACTACATAGACCAAATTTCAGAAACAGCTTACCATCGGACTATCGACCTAAACACCTATAAATGTAGAATAAAGAAAGCAGGCAATTATTCCGGATCTACGATTATTCAGGTCCGAGGAACCTGAATAACAAAGACTTTTAAGTAATGTCTTTTGAGTAATGAAAAAGGAGGTCTGTCAAGGAATACCAACTTAGTTCTGAACATTCTTTGATTGAATTTGAATCATGCCTAGATGTGCTCATTGACATATCAAGTATGAATTCTGAGAAAATTAGTAACAATAATAGATGGAAACTACTTTACGCGCAGTTGGGAAATGATACCGTGCACATAGAAACAGAAAAAAAATGAATCCTTCCCCACGTTTCAATAGTTCTAGACGAAGCGCTACCAATTTTACAAGCATAGCACGGAATGGACTGTGCAATGTCCTCAACAGAACAAATTGTATCATTTCAGACAAGATACCGGCCCGCATGGAGGAACTTAATCAGGCACACATCAGTCCTGTGCTCTCACCTAATTACAAGAGAAGGATCTCCTTTCGAAGCTAAACATGTAGTTAACGCAGCATAGCATGGGCCTTAAAGAAGCTGCTGAAAATGTTACAGGCGTTTAGAACCAATATTGAGACCTGTGGCACGCCTTCGAAAATAACACACACACACACACACACATATATATATATATATATATATATATGTGTGTGTGTGTGTGTGTATCTGCTTCTATCCTTAACTCTATCTGGCAACCAACTTTAAAAATTCTCTCTAGTCTCAACAAAATGCACAGGAACCCTGAGCATGAAGTGGTTTAAAGAGAGTGACCTCAACGTCTTTGTGTGGGTAGAGTCCAAGTATATGTAGCTCATCAGGTGATATGAAAAGATTCCGTACCAAAATGCGCGCAAAACTCTCTTACGAGAACAAATCTCATCGGCGAACTGAATATGAGTGGGCAGCGATTGTCTCAAGACTGGCAGGTCCGCTGAGAAGGTCAAATTTAGGGCTCTTTCACGACAAGACACAATTTGCGCTTGAATATGAAAAGTAAACCCTACACGGTGCACACAAGGGTGGATTCAACTGCTATAGAAACTGGATCGATTGCCTACACAACAGCATGACAGAGCCACTTACAGCCAGATCCCATACCGACCGCCAATTTTCAAGTCGAGTTTCACCAACCCTGATCTAACCTCCAGTGATCATACCACATCCAACCTCCCCATTCCCACCTCCGTCTCGAATCCCGAGTATTGAATTCCTCCAAGATCGACGACACCAACGACATTGCACTGCTCTAAACTGCGTCCGACTCATATCCGAGCCCGCCACGGCGGAAGAACGTGGCGGCATCCCGCTCGAACGCACTCACTCACTCACTCACTCATCACAAAAAAAACAAAAAAATGAAAAAATGAAAAAATGAAAAAAAAAAAAAAAAAAAATGAAAATGAAAATGAAAATGTCGAAACCTTCATCTCCCGAGGTTCCAGGACACAAGAGAACCACGCAAGCACGCACGCACGCACCTGGCATCACCGCCGCTAGAGAGCGGAGGGTTAAAGATAGAGTCGAAGACGTCCTCGTTGCTGGCCATTCGAGAAGCAGATCCCGACCTGCCCATGCCCCCTGCACCCGATCCAGCTCCTCCGCTGTGGCTTCCTACTCCACCAGCCATGGGCATGCTCTTCCCGCTCGGCTTCAACCCATAGTCCTGATGCAGCAAGTTGGCGAAATCGTCCATGGAGGCAAACACACACAGCTCTCCCTTCGTCGAGATCCAGCACTCACAAACCCTCCCTTCTCTTCTCTTCCCTCACCGCGCTCCCCTGCGTGTGTGCGTGCTTGCGCTATGCGTGCACTCTGGACATCGCGAGACACCAAATGCGCGGCGCATGATTTGGCTGCGCAGATGGTGGGTTGGCATTCAACTCGGATCTATGACTTGGGTTTAGTAGAATTTTGTGGACCCTTTTGGCGCCCGAGGGTGTTGGATCAACGCGGGCTTTTACACGGAACCTCGGAAGAATCCTCCTCCTCTTCGACGTGTTCGGGGTTTAGATCGCGGGGAGTGAGTGCCCTCCCGCATCACCCACTCTCACTCGGTGGCCAATTCAATATTCCAACTTCCCATTTCTGCACTTCCTTCCTTTCAATTTAGTACATTTTTATGTGTGTGTGGATGTATTCCATGTCAAGCCCTAATCTTGTTACTAATTTGTGAAATGTGGGCTGGATCTAAATGGTTCTTAAGAAAAAACTTATTTGCTTGCTTGTTTGTTTTCATGTGAGTTTCCAGCATTCGTTAAGACTCCATCTGAGGCCTGTGCATTATTGAACTTTAAGGTATTGAAGCATCAAACCTGCTTATTTTTTAATTTTCTGGGACGTTTCCTCAGACTTCTGTAATGCACTAATATTATTTTCTTTGCATCGAGAAGAAAAAATTAGCATGACTGGAGATACTTTCTTTGGAATATTGAGTACTTTCTACAATTAAAATTTGAAATACGTGGTTTAATTCATTTTTCAAAACTTTTGGGTTATAAATGTTTCTTCGGTAAGATTTTTAACTTCAAGCCCTACGCTTTAACAGAAGATCCAACACAATGTTTCTGTCTTAAAATTTATCCCAGTTACATTCATAATTTATACATACACAAATATACTAAACAAATAAATACAAATTATTGATTGTTCTGTCAGTAGGATCAGATTTCATTTACTTTTCTAGTGAAATTTTTTTTATAGATCAAATATGATTATAAATTGTATATCGCAATTTTCATCCATCCTTCTCTGATTCAATAAAGTTCGTTCTTCCACTGATGACCAATCAACATCCTGGTAAATGGCTTCATCTTGGTAAACTTTTGAATGCACACACAAAAAGTTCAAACCTCCTTTTCTATGGTTGCATCTGTTGATATATAAAATAAAAAAATAAAAATATGGACTGGGTCACCTTGATTTTGCAAATAATATATATATTGAATCTACTTTGTTAGTTAGTAAAATTATTTTTTGATGAATATAGATATCTGGTAATCTATTTCAGCAAATTATATTGTATATTTTTGGACATAATATTTTTCTTTGGTAGCCTTTACGACACAAAAAAATAAAATAAAATAAAATAAAAATAAAAAAGCTTACACCATCCATGTTATTAAAGATGCTTGATTTTGATTCCACACTTTTAAAATATAAATTCCAACTTTTCTAAACTATAACTAAAAATATATAATGTGAGTATTTTAAAATCACCATCATGTTTCATATGAGACAAAAATTATCAATCAATACAATTTGTTATTACTATATCTTATACAGTAAAGGCAATAGTATTTGTTTGTGTTGAGATTATAAAATGTAGCCGGCGCTCTCCATAATATTTACTGTAGACTACAATAAATACCATAGCTATAGTATTTAGAGTCTAGTGGAGAAGTATTGTTTATCATCTCCCCTTTCTCTTCTTGTATTTGAGACACAACTAGGTCAATAGATTTTTATGTGTGAAACTCTCTCTTCGTAGAAACCCTCTTGTGTGTATGACTTACTACTACTCTTGTGTGTGTGTATTACTTACTATTATTCTTGTGTCTTTCTAAATATTCTCAACACATTGTCGTGATGTAACTCGATTAATAGGTGAAAGAGTGTGGAGATTATTATAATTTAAGAGATCTTAGTTCAAAGTATTAGAACAAATTATCTTAGAAATATAGTTAATAGCCAAAGGGGTAGAAAAATTAAAAGGTATCAATGTTGCCTTTTAGAAAGGTGACTTCTACTTACTTTGTAGTACCATAAGTAAGGCAAATCAAAGTAGATTGGGAAAATAAATGATATAGAAATCTTTAGAAGAAAGTCAAGAGTAAATTCTAAAAAAAATTACCTAGAAAAACTAGATATTGATACCCGGAGAGGGCCAGTTATGAACTAGGGTCGAAATCAAACCCTGAGGCACAAAACCAAATCTCGACGACTATTCCGGGACTCTTTGGCAGATCGGAGAGTGGGGTTGGAGAGAAAGTTGGATAGGGTTTCTATGGGCGTTGATTTTGGGTGATTTGGAGTTGATATGAATTTGTAAGAGCTTTGCAAAGTTGAGTTTTTTTCGGATGACTTGGGTTTTATGAAATAAAATAGGGTTTATGTTTTGAGTGATTTCGAGAGTTTTGTTGCAGATCTACGGGTGAATTTTTTCGAGTTCATGGTTATAGTTGTATTGAATACATGTTGTGAATTTGAGCTTGATCTAACCGTTGAACTAAGAGATATTGAGGTTTAAGTGAGTCAAGGTCTTAGAAAGTAGAATTTTAGGTCTAGTCAGGGTTTTTAAGATTTCATGCAATCTACTAGTTGGATTGTAGTAAAACTTATGTGAGAGGATATTAGACTTGTTTTCCTATGTCCATGAGAAATTTGAAACCAATCGAACGGCGCAAAGAAGAGAAATTGGCTCTGGAAGGTTGGCAACAAGATTGGAGAAAGAGGCGGGCTAACACCCGAACACATTTTTGAGGTTTTCGTCAATTTGGTAACTCCGATCCTTTTCAAAATTTTTTTACTTGTTTTGAACTTGATTTTTAAGAAGTGTGAAAATTTTGAATTGAGATCAACGGTTTATTCATTAGATTTTGAGGTTTAAATCTGTCTTAAGAATTATTAGGATTTGGATTAGGGTTTGGCTAGGGTTCGGTTTAGGGTTTGGATTAGGGTTTGGTTAGGGTTTGATTTTAGGTTTGATTTAGGGTTTAGGATTTGGATTAGAGTTTAGGGTTGGATTAGGGTTTGGCTAGGGTTCGGTTTAGGATTTGGATTAGGATTTGGATTAGGGTTTGGATTAGGGTTTGGCTAAGGTTCGGTTTAGGGTTTGGATTAGAATTTGATTAGGGTTTGGTTTAGGGTTTGGATTAGAATTTGATTAGGGTTTGGATTAGGGTTTAGGATTTGGTTAGGGTTTGGATTAGGGTTTGGATTAGGATTTGGTTAGGATTTGATTTAAGATTTGATTTAGGGTTTAGGATTTGGATTAAGGTTTGGATTAGGGTTTAGAATTTGGATTAAGGTTTGGATTAGGGTTTCGGATTTGGATTAGAGTTTAGGGTTGGATTAGGGTTTGGATTAGGGTTTAGGATTTGGTTAGGGTTTGATTTAGGGTTTGAATTAGGGTTTGGTTAGGATTTAGGATTTAGGATTTAGAGTTTGATTTAGAGTTGATTTAGGATTTAGGGTTTGGAATAGGGTTTAATTTAAGACTTGTTTAGGATTTGACTTAGGGTTTAGGAATTATTAGGGTTTAAGATTTAATTAGATTTGGTCTAAAGTTGAGTGAAATTCAATAGGGTTTTAACTAGAATTAAATTAAGGTTGAATTGACATATATTTGAGTAAAATTTGTGATCATTCTAATATTTCTTTAAGAATTTTATTGTTTGTTTGAAATTTCTTTGAGTTGTTTTGAATTTGATTACGTTTGTTTACCATTATTATAGTCTAATTAGAGCATTGTTAGTATTCTATTTAGGATTTTGTTATCACAATTTCTATTCTTCCTTCTACAACTAGGTGCCCGGAGCATTCTCAAGCAAGACTTCACACATTACGACAACGTTATCAGTATGACTCTCTTTTAAACACTATCACAATCGTTTTTTGCTCTATACTTGACTCTTCAAACTTGTTGCTACTCTTGATCAGTGTTTGCTTCATGATCTTGCTACTCTTCTTGTTAGCCCCTCACACATTAGTTGCTTGCTTAAAGCACTTGTTCTACTCTCTGCCTTGCTTGCTTAAAATACTTGATCTAGTCCAACTCTACTCCAGCTTACTCCTTGCTGTCTTAATCCACAACTTTATTAAAAATAATAATACTAATATTTTTTTTTTCAAATTTAAATTTATCATTTTATTTGACTTTATATTTTAAGGTACGTTTTACTCAACTTTTCTACTTGATCTTGTATTTTCTTTACAGATTTATTTATAATGAGTGCTTCAATATCTTCAACTTTTTCTACTATGGTTTCAACTATTACTAGTGCATCCCAATATTCTCAAGCTCTTTTATTTCCACCATTCACTGTAGATGGAAACAATTATCTATTATGGGTAAAAATGGCAAAAGCAAATTTATTTGTAGAACAACTCTCGGATGCCATTATGTTTGAAGAATCTCCTACAATAAGTATTTCTATTCCACATGCTATTTGTTGGAAAACACTTCTTTTCCTTCGTTGTCATCTTGTACCTGCATTACAACATCAATATCTGAAAATGGAAGATCCTATAGAACTTTGGAAGAATCTTAAATCCAGGTTTGATCATCAAAAGACCATTTTCCTTCTACATACACATCATAATTGGACACATGTACGTGTCTTAGATTTTCCAAATTTAAATGCTTTCAATAGTGAAATGTATAATATTGTCTCACAATTAAAATTATGTGGACAAAGCATTTTTGAAGAAGAAATGATTGAAAAAACTCTCTCTACATTTCCTCATGTATTTGCTATGCTTGCAAAACAATATAGGAATATGAAATTTCAGAGTCATTCTCATCTCATGTCCTATTTATTTCTTACGAAGAAGTAAAATGAACTACTCTTGTGTAATACAGAAGCTCATCCTATTGGCACTATAGTTCCAGAATCTCATGCACTTAATATTTCAAAGTCTAAGAAAAAATTATATAAACATGGAAAATGTGCTCATAAGTATCACGGTAGTCATAGTCATGACGATTTCTACCCATATGGAAAGAATAAACTTTCTACTATTAATTATAATAGAAAATAAAAATCAGAGATGCATTCTTGTCATAAGTGCGGAATGATTGGATATTTAGCACATACATGCCATTCTTTAGAATATTTTATTAAAATATTCCAAGAAAATAAAAAACTAAGGCTCGTAAAGTTCATATCATGGATGCGTCGATGGATTCAATTGGTGTTGATGACTTAGAGGCTTATATGAATGACAAA